TCGTAAATTTTCCTTCGGAGCACACAAGCCAGAAAAGGAATTTGTTTCTGGACATTTGTCTTTAGCTCTGTTGCATTTCTGCTTTATATCCTCCGGAACTGTTCTAATTCTTAACAGGCGTTCGACCCTTCCCATCCAAAGGACGGGCTCGCGACACGTTGGTGGAGAAGCAGGGTAATTGGTCTTTCGTGTGAAAGAAGAACCGTCGGGAGACGTCGTGGAAGGTGGTCCCCGTAGTGCAAGTAGACTCGTTTTAGCCGGTTGGGTAACGACGAATAGACACTGATATACTCACGTGATTCGACTCGATTTAAAGTCGCCGTTGGTGATATTCCTGTACGTTCAAAATATTCCGGCGGGGATGCTCACGCAGTCCTCGCTTATGACGAGGTAGCCAGCCTGCTTGAGCTCCTGCAATATCATCCCTGCAGTGGACATCAGTAGTCATGCGGTGAATTTGGGGTATATTTGACTACTTACCAACTTCAGGGCATCTCGCGGATGTTGGATATCACGGACCTTGATCGATGTGCCATCGATATCGGCCACATTATAGCTATCGCGCAAGAACTTTGGCTCAATCTACGGAGACGTCCGTAGCATGAGAGGAATGCAAATATCATTGCTGCAGTTTTAGAGTTAAGACGCACCGGTGGCGCGTTTGTGAAGGAAGGGAGCTTGTAGCTCGGCTCTAATGGATTCACGACGCGCTCCGTTCGAAACCCTGCTGGTCGTGATGTGGTGCCCTCGATGGGAAGCTGTCTGAATCGATCATCGCTTCCTGCACGCCAGCGCTTCGGGTGCAGCTCCATGCTCGTGGATCCCTTGATATCGTGCGCATCGTAGAAGTGCGGTTTGTTGACGTACATGTGGTTCTTGAGCAACGGTCTGGTGCCTCGGATGTCGGTCACATCGTTGGTGACTCGATCTGGACTTCGTTTGGACGGGGGGGCTCGACCACGGTCCATGAAATAGTGCAGTTGTTGTTGTTGTTGCTGCTGCTGCTGCTGATTCAAGCCTCGTGCCGACGTCGGCGGAAGCGGCTCCATGGCCATGGTTGATGTTGACGTAACAAAAGTCGCTCCCTGCATCAAGCTTTCATATTTTTAGGCTGCACTCAAATAAGTTAAGCACTATTCTATTAAGGGAACCTTGTACTTTTCCAACGCTTTCCATAATGGGTCAAAGAAACCAGCTCATTGCATGAACTGGGACAGCTTCTGTAACGGGGTACGTAGCCCTTAGTATACCCCTAGTTACATGAGGGATATCTGGTACGGTACCAGGGTCGTCCGAGGCCAACCATTACCTGATGACATTGCTTTTATACTAGCCGTGTGCCGCCGCTACGCGGCGGGAAAGAATGAATGTCGTTCCTTGTATTTTGCCTCCGTTCCGCTCGCCACGGGCTCGCTTCACTACTCGCACGGTAGGTTGGCAGATGTGGCTCAGGCGGGCCCAAAGGCCCGCAGGGTTGCAGAAGGTGCCGATTTGGGCCGCTCGGCAGCTTTTAGGCCAATCGGGGCCACCTTCGCTGCGCTCGGCAGCCAGTAGGAATATTTAAATTATTTTATCCAATGATTTGTCCGGAAAAGCGTGACAGGCACGACAATTTAGTGTGACGGACAGACAGGTTGCTGCAGTAGATGTTTAAGACTAGCCGTTCGCCGCCGCTACGCGGCGGAGTGGCATGGTTTGTTGGAGATGCGGTGGCCGCAGATTTAGATGCTTCTTGGTGTCGCGTACTTTGTTAGCGTCGTTCACCCCAGTAGATCTTGGCTTCGTGTACTTAACTATTTGCCTCTTTCGTGGCCGTTGGCCTCCCATCGCTGGTACTCTGGCCGAAGAGTGCTATTCCGTGGTTTGGCGCATTCACGCAGTCGTATTATTCCATCACCCGTGTATCGTGCTCTCCTGGTGAGGTTCCATCGACCGCGGTATCACGCTATCGTGCAATCGCGGTGTGGTAATGCTGTCTATGGTATTGTGCTCGCGTAGTGCACCTGCGTTGCCCGTGCTATTGTGTTTTGCAATGGCATCGTACTCCACAATGTGGAATCGTGGTCCCCCTAAGAGCCCCCTCGTTTATTTCGTGGCTGGTCCACCGTCCGTGCAATCGTGTTCTCATGTACTACTGTCCTTCGTGGCTCGGTAAGCTCAGGTTCTACACTGGTATGGTGTTCCGTGGCTTGATGGTCTTCGGTCTAGGGTGCTATTCCGTGGTTTGGTGCCTCCGTGCAGTCGTGTGGTTCCGTCACCCGTTCCATCGACCGCGTTACCATGCTATCGTGCAATCGCGGTATGGCAATGATGTCTACGGTATTGTGCTCGCGTAGTGCATCTGCTTTGCCCGCGTATCGTGTTCTACAATGGTATCGTGCTCCGCGGTGTGCAACCGTGGTATCCCGAATCGTTTCCCTGTGACTTCGTGGCTGGCACGTCGTCCGTGCAATCATGTTGTAATGCACTATTGTCCCTCGATGCTAGGTGACCTCAGGCTCTACACTGGTACCCGGCTCCGTGGCTCGGTGATTTCGCGTGACTGCGTGTTCTCCCACGGATTAGTGGTTAATCCAACGTCTATGCTGTCGTTTATGGCGTGGTGTTGACGTTGATCGGTCGTCCAGGCTATCGTTAGCTACCGTAGTATCGTGTGCCGTGGGTCCGTGGGCTGTCCTCGTATCGTACTCCAATGTTCAGTGATTTCCCGCTTATGCTCTCCCGTGAATTTGTGTTTGGCCGTCGACCGTGCTTCGGGGTAACCTGTGGTGGGAGAATTCCTTTCCGTGCACTCGCACAGCTGCGTGGTCTACCGTGACTGTGAACGTGCTCTCTCTTGGTCCGTGCTTTTTCAGCGTGTTGGCGTTTCATTATTTCAGCTCTCACCCGCTGTCATCTGATCGTGCGGCTCCGTGTTTTTCAGGCTCTTCCCTGGTTCGTGCTTCGTATGAAATTTCGTGGCCTATTCTTATTTCGTCCGTGACTTTCCGTATTTCAAGCTGTTCCTTCTATCGCGTTATGTACATGATCTGACTCGGTGTTCCTCCGTGTTTCGTGTTCTTGTTTAATCACGTGCCTCTACGCTAATTCAATCACAAACACTGCTCCCACTGCACTGCATGTATGTTACGTATCGTGTTCGAGAGGGCGCACATGCTCTTAGGGGTGCAAAATACGCGCGAATACAAAGAAAACGTTCTTTTTTTTAGTGGCGGAGAAGTGTACATGGTTATGTGCGGTGGAAGCCACTATATTCATATTTTAAATATTTAATATTAATAATAAATTGTGCATCTTCATCTAACGCAAATATGATACAATACTTTAGGTTATTAGTATTAGATATAAAGTGCATTTAATTTGATAAGCGCTACTAAATTAATTTTGTGTAGTACTACTACAAACGTCTGCAAGCAATAATATGAGACTTTAGAATAGTACTAAGCAAAATTATCTTAGAAAGTAAAAAAAATGCTACAAAGCTAAAACAAATCATATTATAACCAATAAGTACTAAAGGCTTCATTTAAGCCGAAATATAAGTCACCAAGGCCTACAATTTTTTCAAACAGCTCCTACGACGATATACTACGTGTGTGCGCGTTGGCGCCTTCTACCAATGCTAACTAACGCGCGCACAGGCAGCGCCCTTTGCGTGAGGTGGCGCTCCAGCGTTAAAAATGGGGGCAAAATGAAATTTGAACGTTTGCATTTAAGTACGATATGTAGCCCACATACAATGTGTACACCACATATTGCGATTTTAGCCAATCGAGGCCGCCTTCGCTGCGCTCGGCAGCCAGTAGAACGCGCGTTTTAGCGTGAGGATTATTAACCCTAGCCCGTTACGGACGTTACAGACGGACAACACACTC